TATGCATTGAAGAGTACAGAAAACAGTTACCAAGTATATCAAAACATCATCATATACTATCTTTGTCACTATAAGAGAGAGATCTTGTTAAGCAGAACACCAGGTGTATGCCGTTATCTGCGGTCTCAGAGTGCTACTATGTGTGATTTTACAATTTTCTCCTTTATAATCTGGGTAATATAAGCAGTATCTATGGAAGAAAGATTGCCTATTCTTCTGGTAGAATCTGTAGCTCAATTCATACATTTGAAAAAGATTACTTCTCAATAACATTACTGCATCTTTTGGCATCCACTGATGTTACGAACCATTAAGAGGTTTTAATAGCTCATTTATTTTTCTCCAAGTGAAGATTTTGAAACTTAGAATGTCAATGCTTTACCTGGAAGCAGTAGAAATGGCATGAGACCCCTTGCATGAGGGTAAATACAGTACCACAATGAGAACACCCACTTAATATATATATATGTAAAAAAAAAAAAAAAAAMCCACAAAAACTATCAATGAGATGCCCTCTGAAGAATGAATTTATAAGATATTCACAATAGGATGGCTGTAGAACAAAATATTCATTAAAAGCTGAATTATATAACTATTTGCTTCAGATTTTAGTTAAAAAAAAAAAGGCCAGGAATATTGGCCAGGAATTCAACATAGCCATGMATATCTCTCTGATATATGATGCTAGAGAAAAGAGAAAATTTCTGTCTCATTCATCACTTGCCAGCAAGCCATAAAAACCAAGGAAACAAGCAAAGATTGTAACAGTTGAGAGGCCTGTTTCTGTTCAGCATTTAGTGATCTTGCAGAAATAATCAGGAGTTATATTCAAGATAACATAAAATTAAAGATAACATATTCAGTGCTTCAATTTGAAAGGGAAACTCAAAAACAAGGAAATCAGTGGCATGAACTAATCCATCTGTGTGTCAACACAGCATTAACCCTACGAAAGGAAAAGGAATTAGCATTTTATAATACTCCCAGTACATTCCTATTTGTTATAAAGTTCAGTAAAAATAAAACATCATGCATGCAGAGCTAAAAATCAAACTTATCATTTACTTAACAATGCAAATTCAACAAAATTATTCAACAAAATTATTTAAAGTAAGCTTCCTTGATATAAACTCCCCACTGTTCTCATCAAATTAAATCATAGCATCTCTATTGTTCCCTAATAATCACTGGGAAATAGAGGTCATTATTTCAAATTCCCTGGAGGCTTTCACTGAAGATGAAACTTTCTATACAAGTCACAGGCTACCTGTACAATCTAAAAGATAGAAATAGCTTAGTTTTATTTTTTAATCTACCATTTACCAGAAGGATCATTAAATTAATAAAAYGAAAATATGATGTCTATCAAACATAAGGCTGTACATCATGTTTTTTCCTTAGTTCATTTAAGAGTAAGAGGTTAGTTCATGACTTCTGTTTTTTCTCAGCCTACTTGTTAATTTTTCTTTATTAGCAAATAGAAGACAGAGGACAAAGACAAGGACAGATTTTTTTTTTTTAACTTTTTACAAATTTAGTAGGCAGTTACCAAAGCTCTCAAACGACAGCCAGATTAGCACTCCGAATACATGACTTTCCACATTCAAGTATGAATCATGCACTCACATGTCCTAAGTCCAGCAAGATTTGCAATTAGCAGTAAAAAAATCAAAATCGTTAGACAGTAAAATCAACATCTGTCATTCCATAATCCCACACATTCAGCATTTGCTGACAAACTRCTGTCTTCTACTGTCGCACACTTCAAGTGGTTAAAAAAWAAATAAATAAATGGGCACMAGCGGTATGAAGTGGAACTGTAAACAGGCACAACACTGGCCAGGCTGGTTTTCTCAAGCCGTTTTTTGGCRTCTGCAAGATGTCAAAAAGGGCTGTATTCTTACCACCACCACCCCCTTTTTCTTTACTTTTGCAAGCACTTTGTTTTCAAGTAAAAGAAAGACCCATTTTTAAAGGCTTTCATGCCACGTCTCAAGCTTTCCAGTCAGCTGACAACTTTTCTAATATCACCACTAATCTGCAAATTCGCTGCCTTGAATTGCTCCCAGGGGAGGAATCCGAGCGCGCACAGAGCGCTCGACGCCTCCTCAGCAGCTGGCACAAAGAGTCTAGAAGTTTTCACAGCTAAATCACACGTTTGCTGAGCAGAAAACTCTTAGCACGGGGGATCTGTTCAGCATCTAGCATCGTGCCCTGACCTTTCCAGGGGCTTCTGGAGTCTGTGACAGCATTTGTAAAACGTGGATAAGAGAACTGGAGAATCACAATTACCTTCAACACCTTCTGCCTTTTTGTTTTGCTTTGTTCTTGCTGTTTGGTTTTGTTTGCTTTTAACTTCTAAAGCCTTACAGCAAAGATGTGTATCATAAGCCATAGAAAATGTATTCATTATAGTTTGAAACTGCAAATTCTTGGGTTTGGGGTTTGTTTATTTGACTTCTTTCTCCTGATAAGGGCTAATCAAGTTAGGAGTGCCTGGCTGTTTCTAAGTATATTTTCTTTGCCAACTTTTTTTTTTCTGCAYCTAAGCAACCAGGAAAAGGATTATGTAGCAGGAGCACTGACATCACAGCAGCATTTCTGATGTGCACGCCTATGTAGCAGTCAGTATAGCAACATTTTACCTACTTTTGTGCAGTAATTTTGTGATCTAGGGCTACAGCAATAAATAACAGAGTCCATGGACATAATTCTCAGTGGGAAGCATCTCTCTCTCTCGGACATGCCATCACACTGGGGAACTCACTAAACTCAGAAAACAAAACCAAGAAAAATAAACTCTCTTTTCCATGTCTAAAATTTACCCTAGGGAATAGAGCGGTCATAGCAACTATGTAAAACTCTAGGCAAGCCTGTTTTATCCTGTATGCATTTTCTAAAGCCTCACCCTGAGGTTTTCATTATTTCATTTGTCTCTACTATGAACAGATATTTTAGGAAATTTAATTCCCAGAATAATCATTTAACTCCACCAACAGGCAGAATATTTTTAAGAATAGAAAAAAAAAAAAAAAAAAAAAGACATCCGAAGTTTGCTGAATTCTCTTTCTGTTCAAAAATCATTACTGTTAAAACTGTACATCTTCAATGCTCTCAACAGGAACCTTCACTTGGAAGACCATACACAGAAATGGGTTTTCAAACTCAGAGAAGAGCTGGACCTGAATGGTTTCCAATCAAGTACAACAGCTCAATTTCCCTACATATGAATATTATTTTCCGCTTTATTTCCATGGCTTTGATGACTGTATTATGTTTAACTTATTGTGAAGTATATTTCCATGGCTTTGATGACTGTATTATGTTTAACTTATTGTGAAGTATTTTTCCATGACACTGAAGTTTCATTTAGTGCTCTGACCCTGGATGTCGGATCTGAATCAGCTACTGAATCTGTGCACGACCCACTCAAGTCATACTAGAAACAGTGCAATGCACCTGGCTAGGCTATGACTCACCAAAAAATAATGATTTTTCCCCTTTTACTGTAATTGTCTTCCTATAAAATATCAAGTAAAATATTATATAGAATGGTTAAATTATAAACCACAGAATGGCCAGAAATCTCTAGAAACAGACGGAGTGACTCATCTGAGAAAAAAAGAGATTAAAATCAAACAGAAGTTACGTACACATACACTCACTATGAAAGATTAGCCAGTTTTAAAACTAAAGCCATCCCTTCTTCACTGCTGCTGTTTTTCCTAATAGTTACCTCGCAATAATCTTTAACCTAAATGGGAAAGCTATTCGCCTGAAACACTGCTTAGTAAGTGATTTGGTGAGTGTTCTGGTAAACYTTTGAGCATTCCCCTTCATGCACTTCCTCTACCACATACAAATGAAGGAAAACAACAGATGAAACTAAATCAAAGCTTTCACCTCCTGGATTTAGGTAATGAGAGCTATGGAATTGTACCATGTGAATATTGGTGATTTTGCTACTTTAAAATTTTAATGTGATACAGAAATAGCTGCTGACCAATTCTGTGTGTATTTACTTCCAGGAAAGAGACCTTTGCAAACCTCTTCCCGGATTAATAAATTTCTTACAATCTGAGTCATAAGACACTTTCCCCCACCTCCAGCAGTACTCACAGAAGGAAGAAAAACAAAAGTCAGTCACATTATTTGTATGGATTTGAGCTAATCTTTCACAATATCTAAAACTCTCTCTACTGAAGTTCATCTTTACCAGACCAATTCATTTCCTCTTTATTTATGATTGACTGAAAAGGGAAGAAAGAGTAGTTTTGTTGTTTATATGGAGCTGTTTTTAAAACAACAGATTTGCAGGAGAACATATTTGAAACTTCTTAAACATGGCTAGATCCGACTACAAAAGTAAATAAAAACATGCAGAAGATTAACAGTACCAAAAAAAAGGGGGGGAATAGGAACAGTATGATGGAGGGCAAATCTGACAAGTTTGACCTACAATATTGCACAGGAGTCTGACAGAAGCAATGAACTTGGCTTCTGTTCCTATCTCTTTTTCTTTAGATTTTTTGATTATTAGTATGTAATCATTAGACTCCTAAAATATAAATAAATAAATTCAGTCTGTAAATACTAACTAAATGAACCATATTGATCTATATTGAATAGAATATTGACCTATATTTCCATAGTAAGATCTTCACTTACAGTTTACTTTATTACTTGTGAGCAAAAAGGCAAGAAGGGGAAAGAAAAGGTATATGAGTGTTMAAAGTTATTTTGGGGAAACAAATGAGAAAACAGTTTTTAAAGTAATGCAGAAATATCTAGCTGAACTAGCCACTAAATAYTGCTGGAGTCTGTGCTAGCACATGTGCTAGCCTGTGTAGAATATCAAATGGTTCTTATGAAATATTTACTGAAATACTTATTGCACAAATACAAAAAAAAAAAAAAAAACAGGAATTTCAAGAGAAATGAAAAATGTACTACTTAATATAAAGAGTCCCAATGCAACCCACTACTCCCATCAGACTTACCAGTCGCCTCCTCTCCTCTTCAACAGCAATCAGAAGCCGGGCAAACTCTTTCAGTGATTGAGCTGAAAAGGAAAGCAACAGAAAAACAACGTCCAGATCAATTCCATGTTACATTTTAGAAGACTAAAGAAGTCCATGAATCTGACTGAAAGCATGGTGACAAGATACTACCATTGCCTAGTATTTCACTGAGGAGGTCAGTAGTCATCAATGATCTAGAGTGAGGCACAAAGTACGGAATTGACAACAGGTGAAAAGAAGGGACCTCAGATTCCATGAATCAACTCCATTCCCAAGATTCACACATAAAAGAAAAAAAAAAGTTTAAAATAAATACAGTAAAGTCATTATCCTGAAACGTGCGGAGATCATTCTCAAAACATAAGAAGAAATACTCAAACATAACAGTTCAGTTACAAAATTCACCCAAACACAAGCAATAGGAAGAAATCACAGCCCTCAACTAGAAAAAAAAAGTATTTCCATACTGTGTGCACATTGGAACAATTATACATGGCATGATGCTTCACAGTGTCATGCATAACCTTCTTTTTTCTATAAAAGTGAATAACTACATTCAAATAAGTCAACATGAGCAAGGGGGGGGTCTCCAAAAACATACTGAGATACTGGTCTCCAAAAAAGCTTACTGATAAGACAAGTAACACGTCTTCAGGAAAGAGGGCACTGAGACAGCCTTGCATGGCCAGCTGAGAGGATGGTGAGCAAGGCTTCCCTCTGAGAGAGGCTAGCAGTGCAAGTCTCTCTAAGAAAATCCTTCCTCCCTCCCTCCCTCCCTCCCTCCCTCCCTTCCTATCTTTCCCAAAGACATACAGGCTGTTCAGAATTTAGCATCACAGCTCCACGGACAAAAATGCAAAATAAGAAACCTTTATAGCTACCCAAACATATACCACTGAGTATAGGCTAASAGAGCTCTTGTCCTTTTAGTTATTTTTCTATTTTCTTTAGTTACCAGATCTATCACTGTCCAATAATAAGGGTTCATTCACTTCTCACTTTCATTTCATTACTTTCTAAAAGAAAGTCGCTATGCAGCTTTCCTTGGCTGTGTTTTCAGGATCCACAATCTGTTACTTAGTTTTAAGACCATACTGAAATAGTTTTATCCTTTATCCCATCTAGACTTTGTAGAGGTCACTATTACAATCTTCTTGCTCCTTTTCAATTTATACAGCTGAAAAGCATTGTGCTGTTTGTTCCGAGTTCTTCTGCAAGATCTTACATAGTTTAATTTCTGCAATTGTAATGCTACACCTGCGTATCTTGACCTCTGATTCCTTCTCTGCTGACAAATCCTTTTTTCCTGCCATTACTTATGAGTGCTTTGTTTATTCCAAACACACTTGGTGAGTTAGACATCCATCCAGCTGGGTTTGAAGCCTTTTCCTTTCACAAAAACAATTACCAGTTATTTGATCCTGCCCCTCTACTCAGCTCTGGTGAGGCCACACCTGGAGCACTGGGTGTAGCTTTGGGTGTATAAGAGGGAAATAGAGCTTTGAGAGAGGAGGGCAATAAAGATGACTAAGGGACTGGAACATCTCTCGTACAAGGAAAGACTAAGCGACCTGGGCCTGTTTAGTCTGGAGAAGTGAAGTCTGAGAAGGAATCTGATTCATATGTACAAATACCTGAGGGGAGAACGTAGAAAGGAAGGGGTCAAGCTCTTCTCATTGGTGGCCAGTGATAGGCCAAGAGGCAATGGGAATAAGTTGAAACATAGGAAGTTCCATCTCCATGTGAGGAAGAACTGTAAGGGTGACAGAGCCCTGGAACAGGCTGCCCAGGGAGGTTGTGGAGTCTTCATCTTCTCTGGAGATCTTCCAATCCCGCCTGGATGGCACCCTGTGCTCCAGCTGTCCCTGCTGGAGCAGGGGGGTTGGACTAGATTATCTCTAGAGGTCCCTTCYAACCTCAACCATTCTGTGATTCTGTGATATTTTTTGCACCTTTCAAGTGAAAGAAATTTTAAGCCTCTCTTATAAGCTTCCTCCTCAACACAGTTTTAGCTAATGGCTACTTTAGCTGATCACTGTTAATTCTTGACATCAAGAACTCAGTTCTGAATTAAATGAATCACTATCTCAGCTCATCACGTCCTATCTATCAACATAAAGTTCAGAAACATCTGAAGAACTGAGTGGTGAAGTTATCATATGAGATATCTCTCGAATGCTACATTCAAAAATATCTAGGCTACCATTACGAGTCTGTAAAAATAAATTATTAAAAATAAATATATAGCCTCAAGTGATATGGTTGAATTATTATTTTTATACAAGTATCTCTCCAGAAATTAATCCTAGACAGTGAAAGAAAAAGAGGACACAGTCTGCTTGTCCTTTGCACTGTGTGGCACGGTGATTCTTTATCCACCATTAGAAAAATAAAACTTTTCAAATAAAACAGGGTAAACATACCGTTTGAATGTTAATACCTATTCAAGGAACTAGAATGCACTTTAGAAAAAGAGCCGAGTTTCTAGTAAAGTCAGCAAGATAAATTGTTTCCAGATTATTTCACTGAAATAAGTGGTCATTTTTAAACCACAAGACGATTTGTTATTGTGATCACATGTTCAAACTCCATTACCCCCTTCCTTCCTCCTTTTTTTTTTTTTTTTTTAATTGTGAAGTGACTTACAGTGACAGATTTTTTTTCAAAAAGAAATGATCATTCTAAGCACCAGGGTAGATCTGGATTGCCCTGAAGTTAAATGGTTTTTTTTCCCCATCATCTTATGTCTTTATGTGGTTTCTCAGCACATCATTAAAATCATTTTTAATATAACAAAAGCTCCTGGCATTATTTTATCACTACAGAGCTTAAGCAAAAATAAGATTTTACACCTTAGAGTAGCTGTAGCAAATACAGCCAGTTTCCAGTCCCCAAATGCGGGGAAATTTCTTCTAAATCAAACGTATGTCTGGGGTGTAGAGGAGCAAACAAGGAAAAGCACTACTGGTGCAAAGATGAAAGTGAGCCGACTGGTCACGCAATATTCACTGTTCTTATCAGCACAAAAGGTAATAAATTAAGAACAGCAGGAAGTAGAAACCAGGAAAAAGAATGTCTGGAAACTCTGGGGGAACTGAAAACCAGAGAAGCTTCTGCTGCATCTTCCTAATTTCAAAGTAGAACTAGAGGTTTTTCAAGTTGAAATTTTTGCTTAGGATATAAATAAAACCAAGCTAGACAAGGAAAAAGAGCATGAGTTAGCATACTAACATTTTCCCTTCACTTTTGGGGTCGATTTACAAGGTCAGAGCTTCTCTACATGCACTGAATCCCTGCTCCCCAGCAGCGCTGTCCGAGGCCAACGACGTCCCTGCTGCCGGAGCCTCCCTCCTCACAGGGACATTTGCCGATGTCCCAGCGGCCGCACACGTCAGGCACAGAAAGTCCAGGCACATCATGCAGCTCAGGGGCATCGGGGTCTGCATTTCTAGGGCAGCAAGAGACCTGGGCAGTGAGGATGGCCCTGAGGGCCTTGTTGGTTCTTCTGTCCCCCCCTCCCACCACAAGAGGAGTTTGTTTTAAAAAAAATAAATAAAAAAAGAAAGAAAAATCCACATTAATTCAAGATTTGTATACCTAAATACCAGAAGATTTAAAAATATGACTCATCGGCATTAAACGTGGCCTACTTTTGCCTGTCAGGAAGTCCGCAAATTCCACACAGAAGTCATAACCTTTTCTTATTAATTCTGCAATACGCTTTTTTTTTTTTTTTTTTTTTTTAAATCTGAATAGACACAGAGGAATTAAAGTGAACTTTGTAAATACAAAATGTGTGTGTGGGGGGGAGGTTAGGAGGAGTCAAGTTATTTTCTGAGAGGAAATGTCATGGGAATATGCTGATAAGAAACAAATCCTGACCACATATTGATAATATAGAGTACACTAAGCAACACAACGTAGTGGATTTAATATTAGGGTTTTCTAACTGTTTTCCATGGAGCAATTTGTGAGGCACCATTTTATGTAAAACAAAGAAGCATCACCTTAATCAGCTTAATAACACTTCATTTACTTATTTTATTCCCATTTAGCTACAAGCTGCTAGTTTACATGATCTGAGCAGCTTTACAGGCTGCTTCTTATTTAAGGACCATTGCAAGGATGTGTAAGATACATAATGGTGGAAGCGGTGCCTGCGAGATACAGTTCCCACCACAGAAGATCCACTGAGTCTTTACCCACTTGGGACCTCATTCAGCACAACCAGAATTCAGCACAACCAGCTGTTTCTCTGGAGCGGTCCCAACCCAGCAACAACTGGCGGGAAAACTTTCTTCAGGAAAAGCAGCTTCAGTTACCCTTTTTTAAACAGACAAACAAAAAACCTCTGTATTTTCAAACGAAAAGACCTTTAATTATCGTGCTGCATGAGGAAACATGCTAGCACTATTGTTTAAGGCCTAGAATTCTGACTTATTGCCATAAATCTACCCTGTGGTTCATAGGGGGAAAAAAAAAGGAGAGAAAGGGAGGAAAAAAAAAATCAAAATCCACAATTAACTTTATGAAGGCCTTGCAGAGAGAGCATCACCTGGAAGCTACACTATCAATAATTAGCTTAACAGACAAGTAAAGTGTTATTATACAGTCAAAAGTTGTATACAATAGCATGATGTTGTCTACATTTAGTGAACAAAGGAAAACAATATATACTGAAACAAGAACTAGCTTTAATGTCTCTGGCCAGATTTGATTTCAGAGATGTAAAACCAGGTTTGAAGGGTAACCTTYAACGGAGCCAAAATGGAAGGTGACTGTGGAAGATCTGAACAAACTGTTTATACTCACAAAAAAAAATTAAAAAAAGAAAAAACCTTACATACACACATTTAGTTTAACTTATACTTACTTACACACATAGTTTTAAAAAATGTAGACAATTTATAAAAATGCTGCGGTGCACTAAACAGGATTCTACGGTACTGTAAGCTGCAATCACCATGATCCTTAACTACGTGAATGCCGGCCTGGCATAAACAGGTAAGCTGTTCTTATGACATCTTACTATATGATGAAT